TGGCAGGCCGTGAGATTTTGATAATTTTAGTGGACTGTGTAAATTTGCAGTTTCGAGGTAGTGAATGTTTGTGATGATGAGAAAAAAATGAATGAGAAAGGAAGAATAGAGGGGAAATTTCCTTAGAGATGAAGAAGGTAAGAAACTAAGAGGTGACATTGGACAGCTCATCCGAGTGGATATTGAAAGCAGTAAGCAGAATGACAGGAATTGAGATAAAAAGAAAAACAAGGCAAAGTGCTAAAATCTTTAGTACGCGGAGAATGACCAAGCAGTTGGCAGATGACGGCAGTTGATGGAGCCAGATGGCATAAGCCTCAAAGGAGCAGGGGATTTTTTTACAGCAGGGGCTGAGAGAGAATAATTATCTGGAAGTTGCAGTGGGGAAGCAGAAGCCATCTCCTGCTGATGCTGGAGGATGAGCCGTGTGAGTGTGCTGCAGGGAGGCGGTGTCCTCAGCATGTTTCGGGTAAGGCACGGAGGTGAAGGAAACATTCTGAGAGGAGACCATTCCTTTGGAAATGGGATAAGATTTCCTGACAGTGCAGCCTTCAAGGTTTAAAAGGACCAGCAGGTTTCTTTTATAATCAAAAGTCAATCTTCCACTTGAGAGGGACAAGGGGCTGCTACAAGCTTGTAACCCTGATCCCTGTCCTCCATAATTCACCTTCCCCATCACACTGTATTTAGGCGGTGCGGTATCCCCTTTACCATTTGCTGGAGGATAGTCTCACAACTTTTTTTTTTTTTTTTTTTGACAGAGTTTCGCTTTGTTGCCCGGGCTAGAGTGAGTGCCGTGGCGTCAGCCTAGCTCACAGCAACCTCAGACTGATCTAGTTGAAAGTCAGAACAATTAGAAAACCAGGTGTGCACCATAATGCCTGGCTAATTTTTCTATTTTTGTTAGAGACAGGTTCTCTCTCTTGCCCAGGCTGGTCTGAAATTCCTGACTTCAAGTGATCCTCCCACCTTGGCCTCCCAGAGTGCTAGGATTACAGGCATCAGCCACCGCACCCAGCCATGTCTCACAACTCTTATTATAATTCCCTCGTAACACACATGAAACCAGATTGGAATCCATTCATTTATTTCTCTCTCCCTTCCTTCTGTTGTTCTTCTCTTCCCTCCACTCATCCACCCCATTTATTCTTTGTTTTCTTAAATCATTCATTCAGTGAGACTTTCAAAGCCCAGAAGGAAGCAGATGTAAAATAACATGCAATAAGATGTTGTTGCTTATGAAGAATTATTACTCATCATCATCTCTGGAGTTCTGTACAAGGAGGCCTCCCTACCTAGTTCTCTTTGGGTCTGTTCCCTGTCTCCTCATAGTTCCTTCAAGAACTTCTAGAGACTAAGCCTCCCAACTCAAAGGATGAACGTCCAGAGAAACACAGATGCTCCCTCATCACCTCTGTAAAACCTGCCTTTCAAATTCAAGTTTTACATCTAATCTGGAGTCATATTACTAAATCATAAGAAATGACAGTGATCTAGCACCTCTTATATTTTCCTGGATTGGACTTCAGCCCATTATCCGAAGTGAGGTATCACAAGATCGGAAGAATGGACTCCACTTGTACTCGCCATCAAATTGGTACTAACTGATGAACACTAGGGTGCTTACATGGCAGTAATACTCTCCAGGGATTAGGGGGATGGGGGGCTAAACCCGCAACTAAAGGACACGGGGAGCATTGTAGAGGGGAAAGGCATGCCTCTAACCCTCGCTTGGGCTAGGCAAAGACATAAAATGTAACCATAATCTTTGTACCCTCATAGTACCCTGGAATTAAAAAAAAAAGGAAAATAAAAAAAAAAAGTTTTACATCTGAAGGCCTGCCTCTTCTCTCAAATGATTGACAGCAGGGCTGCCCCTTGTTTAGGGAAAACCCTACCCCCAGGACAACTGTATCTGAATCTGAAACCTAACAAATCAGAATTCTAAACCTAATATCCAGACCCACACACAGAAAGTGGAGATCAAACTATTATATAGAAAATGACAGATGTCATATTGAAATCTTTCAATACAACTAATTATTAATAGGGGTTTTATAAAGTAAATTACATATACTTTGCTATAATTTTATTCTATAGGATGATTTACCAACTGCATTCTAAATGTGTTTTCAAAATTAATTAATTGGTATTAGAAAAAACAATATTTCCTACAGTGTAAGATATGCCTCTGTGTAATATATAAGCATTTCAACATTGACTTTTCAACCAAAAAAGACGTTTTTTTTTTTAAGTATACTAATGGGAAATTAAATGGATTGGTTGGACAAGGTGGCTCATGCCTGTAATCCTACCACTTTGGGAGGCTGAGGTGGGGGCATTGCATGAGGCCAGGAGTTTCACACCAGCCTGAGCACAAGTGAGACCCCATCTCTACAAAACAAGTAGAAAAATTAACCAAGTATGGTGGCACACGCCTGTAGTCCCAGCTGCTTGGGAGGCTGAGGCAGGAGGATTGCTGGAGCTCAGGAGTTTGAGGTTGCAGTGAGCTATGATAACACCAGTGCACTCTAGCCCTGGTGACAGAGAGAAACTCTGTCTCAAATAAATAAATAAAACTTTTAGTCTAATATAATAGCATAGCCTTCATTAGGTTTCTCTTAAGACACTGCACATTTGTCTAAATTCACACATATAAAAATGAGTAGCAAAACAATAACAAGTTATCCCTCAAATTAAAAATATAGCAGCATCCTAAATGAACTGATTCTTTGTAGCCTGCCAAAGACAATGGGAGATTTTTCTTACCATCGATTTCTGTATAGTACTGTAGTCCTTGACAAAGTTTTTTGGAAATAGCCAGTTGGGACTCTCTACTAGGAATTCTGAGGAGAAACAGGGAAGCAGGAGAAATAGAAAGGAGAGGTAAAGTGCTCTCTTCGCGCTCCTACAACAAAGTTATTGGTGGTATCGGGTCACTGAACTGAGCTGTGATTTCAGCAATGATGAAGACAGTGAAAGTATGTGAAAGTTGGAGAGAATGAGAGTACCTGATAACCCACTGGCCCTTCACAAAGATCTCGGTGCCTTAGGCAAGTGGTCAGATGAACTTGCTTAAAGACCGTGGACAACTTAAACACTGAGACACATGGGATCTCTGGTTCATGCAACATTTAGCACTTTCCCTCTCCAATAAGGTTAATTAATCCAATATAGCAAACATTTAATGGCATCTATCATTTGCCAGGCATTATGATTGTTAGATACATAGGTGAAAAATGTTTGACTCTCAAGGAGATTGAATTGAGTGGGAGACATACCAGCAAATCCAATCAGCACGTTATGAAAATTAATATACTCATAATGGCAGTATTCCAGTGGTTCAGTGGAATTATAAGACAAGGAACCAGGCATGGTGGCTCACACCTATAATCCCAGCCACTTTGGGAGGCCGAAGCAGGAGGATTGCTTGGGGCCAGGAGTTCAAGACCAGCCTGGACAACATAGCGAGATCCCATCTCTATAAAAATTTTGAAAAAATAAAAAAAGGAGGAGGAGTGCTTAAGATAGGTCAGTGGTAGGGAAGGCTTCTCAGATGATATGATTTTGGAGCTGACCATTGAAGGAGAACCAGGAGTTTACTAGACAGAAAAGGGGTAAAAGACATTCTAGACAGAGAAAACAACATACGTAAGGGCAAGCAACATAAAACATGATGGCCTTGCCTCATGATTCTGCCAGGAAACAGATGGCACAATTGTAGGTTAACTGAAAGAGTTAAATGAAGTGACTATTTCCAGAGATTTGGTCAAGGTCAAGGGTGCCAGCAAAGGATGGTGAAGCATTCAAGGAGAGCAACAGTGCGCAGCCTTTAACCACTTGGCTGGAAGAGTCAAGGAGAGAAAATATGATTACCAGAACCTGGTGACAGCCATAGCCATGGGAGAGGTACTACCCAACAGGAACCTTACTAGGAGCAGAGGAGTACAACCAGTGCCAAGCCACAGCCCAGTAGAGACAAGGAGGGATAAATACCCTAACTTCTCTTTCCTCCAGTCTCCACCTGGCACCTCCCATTGGCTGAACCCTACTGTAAGCCAAAGGGTGAGGGAGTTTAGGGAGGCTTTCTGGGAAGGCCAGCTTCCAGAGGCCTACAGAACGGAGAGTATGTCTTCAGAGGCAGACAGAATCATTAGTATACCTCAGATTCATGTCCTGGGTCCAGACAATCTCCTGTTTCTTGAATAGGTATAGCACAGGACTGTATTTGTAACATTGTAACAAGTCTGCTGTCTTAGCAGTTTGGGCTGCTATAACAAATTACCATAGAATGAGGGGCTTAAACAACAAAAATTTATTTCTCACAGATTTGGAGGCCGAAAGTCCGAGATCAGGGTGCCAGTGTGGCTAGGTTCTGGTGAGAGCCCTCTTCGGGGTTACAGACAGCCATCTTGTTGTGTCCTCGCGTGGTGGAAAGAGGACTAGAGAGCTCTTGTCTCTTTAATAAGGGCACTGATCCACCCTCATGACCTTAGTTACATCCCAAAGGCCCCATCTCCTACTACCATCACATTAGAGGTTAGGATTTCGACATAAGAATTTGGGGTGGGGAGGACACAAACATTCAGTCCTAAACTGATAGAGGGGCTCGTTGAATTACATGATGGAAAAATTCTTAAGATCTGGTTTCACCCAATCTTTGCATGTGCCTATTTTTAACCACAATGATGTAATAATTATTCTATCAAATTTATAAAAACAAAAACAATCGTAAGACACTGTGAGATGATATACCATGTTAGGTGCTTATTTGTCTATCTAAAAATAACAACTACTTTAATGTTCTGTTAATGTATGAAAGTTGCATATTAGTCTCATAGAATATTTTTGTTCAGTTAAGATACTTCATATTTTATTTATAAATTTTAGTTAAATCACATTAAGGTCTCTTCACATTTTATTATGGTGCTGCATTGTTTGAAGGAGGAGAAAAAGAACAAGTTGTCCTCATACAACCTTTTTTTCTCTCTATTTTTCAGATCAATAACTCGATCTTATTACCGCAACTCAGTTGGTGGCTTTTTAGTATTTGACATTACTAACCGACGATCTTTTGAACATGTGAAAGATTGGCTAGAAGAAGCAAAAATGTATGTACAGCCATTTCGGATTGTATTTCTGCTAGTGGGACATAAATGTGATTTAGCTTCACAACGTCAAGTTACAAGGGAAGAAGCTGAAAAACTATCAGCAGACTGTGGAATGAAATACATAGAAACCTCAGCAAAAGATGCTACAAATGTTGAAGAATCCTTCACAATCTTGACAAGAGACATATATGAACTTATTAAAAAGGGAGAAATTTGTATTCAGGATGGCTGGGAAGGGGTTAAAAGTGGTTTTGTTCCAAATACTGTGCATTCTTCTGAGGAAGCAGTAAAGCCGAGGAAAGAGTGCTTCTGCTGACTTCAAACATGCCAAAGAACTAACAAGAACAGATTGGGTGTCATTTCAGGATAAATACCAACATTAACAGCAGAATGATGTAATGAAAGCATTAAAAAACCCACACTGACACTATTTTGTAAGGTATTTGATTCGGAGCACTATACTTACTTGTTACACTACCAGATTAGATATTTTGCTAAATTATCAGGCAAAGCAGACAACTTTTTCTTGAAACTGACATATCTGCATATTACCTCCATTCTCACTTTGTTAGCCTACAGCTGACCTTAGTGTCCAGATATATCAATATTACTCATTTTTCTTGACAGTTCAAAATGGATTTTTTGTGCATGCATAGTCTGATTGAAAAGATTTTATCAGAAATTACATTATCTTGAGTTAATTAATTAAGATTGAATGGTAAAGTGCATTTAAAAGTACACTGTTCACTTGCAAAGTAAACAATCTCAGAAGTATCAACTAGGACTTAAGTAACAGTTTCTTGTTTAAGGTATCAGGGTTTTTTTTGTTTCTGTTTTTGTTTTTTTACCATTCTCTGAAATATTTATCCTCCTTTAATTTTGCCTGAACATAAGAAAATGAGTTTCATACTCATTTTTGTTCACTGATTTGTTGCTCCTAAAAGTTTTATGTTTTACAAAGGTATCTAAGGATCCAAGCAAAATATTCTAAGCAAATATTTGTAAAAATAAAAAACAAAGGACCACTCAGTAGCAAATGTTCAATGTTAGTGTATACTGTTTGTGTTTGGACAAGAAAAACAAAATTTATTTATATACTGACATTTTCAAAGATAGTATATGCAATTTACCTTGAACTATTGTCAAAATTATCAATATAGGTAAATATGGAATGTTTTTAATAATAGCAATTTTGTCCAAGTAAATTTCCAAATTTTTCCATTTTCAATACAAGAAGAATATAGAAAAGATTTTTTTGGATGAGGAAAATTGGTTAGATGTTTGATATATTTAACATTCAAATTGCATTTTACAAATCTCAACAGTTCAAATGAAGATAGAATCATCAGTCAAGGCAGTAAAATGACTTTTGAGTTTCCTGATTTTTAACTTATTGATTAACCTTCTCTCCTGGAGAGAAGGTTGATCACAATTCAAATATTTTATAATGTACTCTGTTCTGTAAACTATTCCTAATCACAGAGGGGCACCAAATGAAGCTGCGTTTTTGGAATCATAATGTTTTTACTGTTAAACTGTATATAGTTGCTTCATTTGTTTGAAAACCAAAGTGGTACAGTAGAAAGAATATTTAACAAGAAATCAGAGAACTTGGTTTTAAACTTGCCTGTGCAGTACCAATACTTGACCATGAGTAAGTCACATAACCTCTCTAAGCATCATTTTTCTACTCTGTAAAATGAGACTAATAACCTGAGTTATTGTGTTTAATGGAATTATTTTGAGAATCAAGTGAATCAGGCAAAAAAGCTTTGTAAATGGAGAAAGCATTGTACAAATGTGAGATTGATAACAGTTGCTCATGGCCATACTGTTGTATTTATAATGGATGAGAATTTTGTTTTCTCATGTTTTTTCCTTTCATTTCTGTGCAGAAGGAGCAAAAGAACGTGTGCGTTTTCAAGGACCTGGGGGAATTCTTGGTTGATGGTTATCCTCTACCCTTTTACCCTGAACCACTGCTCTGCCAAAGTGGAAATGATAGAGAGGGAAGTCCCTGGAGACTTAATCCAATCAAAAGTCATGTTTGAATGTGTTTTTTGTGCATCTTTGAAGTAGATATTTAGTTCTGTTTTCAAATACTTGTACATTTTCTAGGCTTATGTAAGTGTTTTTTAATAGTGCTTATGGAGAGAATGTAAATTATAACCATAAAAATTATAAATATTTATATTGTCAACATTTCCTTGATATCCTTAAGTTAATTTCACATTGAATTCAAACTATAATCAACCAGGTGAGAAAGTACCTGTCCCCCAAAATGTGAAGTAGTCGATTTTTACTGTTACAGTTTTAAATCTTGTATAACAATTTGCCATCAGTCCAAAATGGCATAAAGTCAAATACTGAATATCTAACAACAGTTTAAAGTTCAGTCACCTGTGCCTACTTTCAAAGTTAAATAGCTAAAATATAAAATGTGATCTAACTTTCAGTGGACACCTTTATAATAATATTGGGGGAGACTAATATTGGGGCTGATGGATATCATGTGCTCCAAGATTAAAATAAGACTAATGGCTGAGCAAGATGGCTCATGCCTGTAATCCCAGCACTTTGGGAGGTTGAGATGGGAGGATCGCTTGAGGCCAGGAGTTCGAGACTAGTCTGAGCAACATAGTGAGACTCCCTCTCTAAAAGAATTAAAAATAAAATAGAACTAAGGAATTGGAAAAAACAAACTGGAAGGCAAGGCCCAAAAATGTTGATACTTATGTGACAGAAGCAAGCCTAGAACTCTGGTCTCCCAACACATTGCTCACCAAGCTGTGTTTTGTGTGTGCGTATGTGTGTGTGTATTGGAGAGGGAGGGATGCAAAGGAAAGGGGAAATGTGATCTAACTGAATCCACAAACTACTAAGATTGGGTTAAATGATTTTTATATTATAGAGGAGCTATTTGTGGTAAAAACAATAGTAAAGTGAATGATGACTACAAAGATCTGAGTTCTTATACAAGATTGCCAAACGTCTGTATAACCCTAGCCAGATAGTTTTATCCATTTATATATGTAAAATAGCTGACCTATTTTCTTACACATCATTATAGAGAATATGGATAATAATGCCAAA